TGCTTCTGCTTGAAACAAATGGCACAAAGCATCCAGGCACGGCCCAAACGAGATGGCAGGCAGGGATGGCAGGCGGGCGAGACGCGGGGCTTCCGGAGTTCCGGAGGGCTGCACACGCAGCGCTGCACACGCAGATCCGCCCCGCGCTGCTCCCTGCGCTCCCATCCGCCGCAGCCCCGCTCAGCACCCCGCACCGCCCCGCACTGCGGCGCCGCTCCTCGAGGGGGCGGCCGGATGCCGGAGGGCGCTCTGAGGCGCGAGGCCGGGCCGCAGCCCCACTTACCTGCCCGAAGCTCCGGCCCGGCCCCACCCCCGCAGCCCGGTACTCACGAGTTGGTGTGCAGGTACTCGAAGGTGAGCTGCGCCCGGTTCAAGCTGCTGTAATTAGCGCAGGACATGGCGGCTGACGGCGGCCGGGCCGCGCTCCGCGTGCGCCCTCGAAGCTTTTCCCCAACCCTCCCCCCCCCCCGCTCCCCGCACTGGTCACCGCCCGGCCCGGAACGACAGCGCCATCCGCGACGCCGCGCCCTCCGGGGCGCCCCGCCCGGCCCCGCGGCCCCGCTTTGTCCCCGCCGCGGTCGCGCCTCGCCGCCGCCCGCAGCCGCCGCTCCCCCCGCAGGGTGGGGCCGCGCCGTTGGCCGCCGGTTGGGCCGCCGCGTCACGTGACGAGGGAGCCATCGCGCGCGCTGCCGCCGCCGTTTCCGCTGGGCCGCGTGACGCGCGCGCTCGGTGTGCGCGCTCCCGCGCTGCGGGCCGTGCGGGTGGGAACCGCGCCGCGGCGGTGGGCGGCAGCCGGGCTTTGCCCACCGGGGCGCGGCGCCCATCCGGTGCTTTAATCCGTTGCGTTGCACGCCGCTGCCCGCTTTTCGTGCTCTCTCTGCTGCTGAAGGCTCCGGTAAGGAACGGCTGAACGTTTTCTTCAAGCGTGCTCGTAGGTACGTAAAATGGTTCCGCTCTAAACCGCAGGCAGAGGAGGCAGACCTGGAGGCCCGGATTGTGCGGCGGTACCTCGGCGGAAAAACGCGCCGCTGTCGTCTGGAATGGATGCTGAGAGGACGGCTGCATCGCCTGCACCGAGGAGGACAGGAATCCGGGTGATCCCAAGTGTTTGTGATGGAGCGGTGCAGAGAAACTTAGATCTGGTTGTCTGTGAAGGTGAAATCCGTAATCCAGGCTTTGTGTTTGAAGTGCTTGTCTCCTGTGCTGTCTGCAGCACAGCGAGTCCTGCAGTGCTGCTGGCAGTGCGGTGTGTACGTGTGTGGTGGCTGCCTGGTAACTGCATGTGTGTGCAGTGATTTGTTTTAGGCCTTCCGTCTCAAAGCTGCATGAAAGCATCAGGAAAAACCACTGACAACAGCGATATTTAGGTGGCCTTAAGGCTTTGACAGGAAATATCTCTCTCAGTCTTTTAAATATTGCAGCATCGTTGTACTCAGCTTTTATTTCCTCGTGTTGCAGTGAGTATCAGAAGCAGATGGGTGAAGCGGTATAAATCCCATCAGTGCAAGGACAAAAAAAAAATCCAGATACCCCTATAGAGTGTGAACTTAACCTTGTGTGTCTTGTCATCCTTGTCACTTTGGAACTCGGGGTATCCCTTATTTCTCTAAGGGGAACTTTGTGGTGATCTCATCGCTGTACCTTCAGGAAGGAAGAGTTTTTTCCTTGCACTCAAGGGATTAACAACTTCAGCAGAACACCGTGTCAGACTGCAGCAGAGCAGTCTTGCTGCTGCTGCTGGCATCGCAAGGCTGCGCTGGGTGCCAGTCCTTTCCAACTGGCACCTGGAAGAAAAAAGCACAATGCAGTTCCACTTCATTTGGTCAGTCCCTGGCAGGAAAGTACTCCTTTCCATCCCACTGTTCAGTGGTGTTGACTTCCAAATCTTTTTCACTTTCAGTGACAACAGAAATTAAATGTTCATTTTTACTTTTTCCACCGCTGCTCTGGAGAAAATTTCAGACATGTTTTGGTCCTCTGCTCTTTGATTTCTCATAACAGAGTTTTAGAGGGCTATGTACTTCACTAGTCCACTGAGCTGCTGGACATCCAAGGAGGAGTGAAATTACCTTTTGCAAAACAACATTTGGATCACACAGCGTTTGGTCTAATTTGGCTATAGCATCGCTGTTCTTTGATGGGGAACATGTCTGCTGGTGGTTGGAGGATTGCTGAGCTCTTTTGGCCTGTGAGCCACTGCTGCAAACTGCTCAATTTCTTTGCTTTTGAAACTGAACTATTCCCACTGCAAATTGACATCTGTCCTCATTTAGGTGATTGTTTTAGCTTGGGAGCTGTCTCTCCAAACTAAACAGTTCTAGATCTATTATAGTAGTTTTGACTAAGAACTTTCCTTTTTTCCATCTGCTATCAGCACCATTTTCCTGATTCCCTGTCCAGCATGTGGATATCTTATACATCTTATATCAACAGGTAGAATGTATCTGGCTTTCTCTTCCACAGATTTGATAAAGTGTCATAGACAATCCCCCCTCACCTTTGAGTGGCCTTTGTTGCAGTGGAATGCAACAGCATGCTGTGATGCACGCAGCGATCCTGATGAATGACCTGTGGAATGGTAGTTTGTCACAGCAGTGCGTGTTGGGGCTTGAAGCATACAGTCCTGCTCTTCTTTAACCTGAGTTTCACACGCAGAACTGAATTTCAACACCTCAATCTGTGCAACTTTTTCACTTTGAAGTAATCCCCAAATCCCCTCATAAAACTAGTCTTTAGAATCCACGCTGGCCAAACTTTGTGTTTCTGGTTGGGGAGTGACAGTTCCTATGGAGTCATGTGTAGCATTTGCCGAATCCTTAATCTGGTACAGTATTTTGCTAACCTTCTTTCCACTATGTCGTAGCCTGAGGTAGTTGAACAGTTCAGTTGGTGGCCTGTATTCTGAAAATGGGAGGCACAGGAATTGAACCAACAGTTAGTCCTTGTTTTCCCTAGTTTTAACAGGCTTGACTTTGAAGCCAGCATTTAATGTGTGAGTCACTATACTGGTAAGTACTATGTTTGCACCATACAAATGCAGCAAAAGTGTCTGTCTCTTGCTTACATGAGGTTTCCAGAGATTGGTGGCTTTATTTTGTGTATATGGATACAAAGAAACATAAACCTTTGTGCTGTATAAATGTGATTTCCGCTTTTGGCATAGTCCTTCTTGGTCCTGTCCCTACTGTTCACATTCGGTGTACTTCTCTCACGAAGTTCAGATGTTGTTATGGGTCCCTAGTAACCTAACTTGCATGGATCTCTTTTCTAACGCCCTGACTTCATAGGAGTTTCAAAGTGCCTTACTACAGTGGACTGTGAAAGCATGGTGTGGGCTCACAGCAGTTTGGTTCTTAACCCTTTGTGCTGTGCCATACACTGGCTCTGCTGCATGATTCACTCTGATTAACTTCCTTTACAGGTGGAAATTCTTCTTGCCATGAAATACACTGCTCTCTCAACACATGACAAAGCATTCTTCATTAAATAGGGTGTGATTGTCTCACTCAGAGAGGAGCTACATCATTCCGCCTTTTCCTGAGCATGACTTGAATGTCGGAATCAGCCCAACACAATACAAGAACAAAGCCATGGAATCAAAAATTTAGGAAAAAATAAGTGTCTTACCTCATTTTTTTTCCTAGCAAGGAGTTCTGCCTTATGTGGTCTGGGGTAGAGCTGTTTCTCATACTCATAGCAACATCTGTCTGGTCACTGTCATTCACATCAAGTAGCAGAGCAATTTGCTCATCAACTCAAAAAGAGACACAGAATGAGACATTTTCATGATTTTTTTCATGAATTTTTCCTATGTTGACAGACCTAATTCCTGGCTTTGTACTCTCTGGGGCAATCATTAAATGAGTAGTCAATTAATCAATCCTTACAAGACACGCAGACTAAAATGTTCAAATGCAACTACCTGAACGTGAATGGAAGGCACTAATGTGAAAATGCAACAACCCTTTGCACAGTGCCCAGCGTCAATCTCGTGCTTGCTTATCTCACAGGAAAGTCACACCATGGATTTGAATTCATTATTTAATCTAGATATTCTCAGTGAGACACTGTCTGTCAGAAGTGTCTTTGTAAATCAGTCTACAGGATATTGGAAAGGGAAGAAATTGATAAGAACAAGGAGACATCTTGAAGGAAGAACCAGGAAACAGCAGAATGGTTGGATGTTGAGGATCCTCCACCTCTACCAGTCAGAATTCCCTGACCTCGAGTCTGTCTTTGTTTCATGAACTAAGCAAAAAAAAAAAAAAAAAAAAAAAAAAAAAAAAGGAATTAAAAGACAAGGAAAAAAAAAAGAAGCAGCAAAATGTCGGTATAAAACTTCTTCGCCTAAATCAGAAAATGCAGTTCTGAAGAGCCCACAAGAAGCTGGTAGACAAGGAGCAAAGGAGCAGTGGTGGAATCTTAAAAGAATTTAGCTGACAAAAGAGTGGAAGTGGAAGAGTGGCATGAATCAATCAGGAATTTACAGTTTGGCCAGGTTGGATGGTTTCCCACAAGGAAATTGAAAAGAACCCGAAGGCTATGAAGCTTCTTTCTTCCTTAACTGTGGTTGTGTGACAGTTTAGTGGCTTCTGCCAAGATGAAAAGGCATGCAGTCTTCTTAATAAAGTAGTTAATGAGCAGAATTTCTTTTGTTGATGAACAAATAGTTTTTCCTACCTCATTATTTTAAATGTGGGGACTGTGTTCAGTTCAGAGTGTCTTTTTAAACCAGCCTGATGGACTTGCTTGACATGGACAACTCAAATGGTTTCAGTTTGGCAAACTGGCAACCATCTGAAAACATGATCTTCTGGTGATCACAAAGCAACAGGTGGTCTTCTGTGGTACATCCAAGTAGATGGGGCTGAGATTTGAATGAAGAGCTGAACAGCCACATGACCACATCTGAAAAAGAACTCAGCTGGGCAATGCTAGTGCAGAACGAAGGCTCTAGAGATTCTTCTCATTAAAATATCTCTCAGTAATGATTGTCAAAGAGAACTGTTCCTCTGTTCTGTGAATACTACCATGCGTTATGGGTCTTGTTGTCTGCAAATGCGAGTGGTGGTATATGGAATGAAAGCACCGTAGCAGCAAACAGACTTGCAGCGAAAATCTGAATTTTGGACAGGACTTTCTAAGAAATCTATGTCCACATTGGTCTGTGGAGTCCTTTTGAAATGACTGAAGGAAGAAGCCTGCAAGCCTTCCCAAGAGCAGCAGTGCCATTTTGAACCAAAGGCAATAAAACTCTGCCAATATCAGAGCTTGGTTTCAACAACCGGAGATGTGACGTGCATATGTCTTTACCTTTACCTTGATGTCTTTCCAAAATGCATTCTCTGGAGAAAGTTCTCTTACAAGCCATCCTGCTGTTCTGCATCTTTTCTGTTTTCCCCAGGTTGCAACAGGTTCACCTTCTAACTGGCCCATCAGCAATGCTGTGAGAGCTCAGTAGCTTTATTTGCCCTGTCTTCTCCGTTTGTTTTTCCTTCAAACCCTTAGTAAACTTTTTTTACTTAGTCACCTCTGACCTCTCTGCTGCTGTCTTCTGCCTGGGTCCCACTGCACCAGTGGTCATCTCTGCCTCATGTCAGTATGGCTGCCGCTAGTTTGGATTGAAGGTTGAGCAGGGCCTGTGGGGCTGAATCCACAACTGGAGCACTGCCATCAGCATAGGGGAGGAGGGAAGAGGTCTTTTCTCGCTCTCTTTACATATTTGTGCCCATTGGAGCCTTGGTGTTGCTGCCATAGACCCACAAGGTTGCTCTGGTCAGTGCCAGGCATTCAGTATTCAGCTCGAACGTGGAGGTGTGCTTTACCAGGAAGAGCACCACCATTTCCAGGCAGCAGAGATGGACATCACCAGATCTCTCAGTGCCACCAGAGGCCATCCCAACTCCAACCCGTACATGGGGAAGCTGCCTGAAAAATGGGAGAGAATTTCTGCATCAGGAGTGACTCAGGACTTTGGTATATTGCGTTCTCAAATATTTATTTCAGTGTTCTTATAAATGTTTTATTTGGAGAAAAATATTGTAATTGGCCAATATTCCATAAAATCTAAATATTTTGCTCTAAGATAGTACTTCCCCTGCTTGTGGAGATTTGATTCTTTGCTGATTACACAGTTCAAGCTCTGTGTATTGACAAGGGCTTTCCTCCACTCCTTGGTCTGTTTACATGTGACTGAAGCCCTAATCCAGGCACTCTAATAGCGAGCGGGGACAAAGACGATTTATCCTTGGTTAATCTTCAAAAATTGCTTTTCATCTGATGCTTTTTTTCCACTGAGAAAGATTGCATACGGAAACAGGATGGGGCAGTTGAGGAATAAAAAGGCAGAGTTCCCTGTAACTGGCTGTGCAGAGAAGGGGGTGCCTGTCAGAAACAAGGAGCTGTGCTGGCGAAGCCGCTTGTTCTCTGCACTTGTGCAATACAAGAGGTGTTGGAGAGCAGGCATTGTGCAGTGTGTGCCTTGGGCCTGTCTCTGTGAGCTCTTCCTTAACACAAGCTGTGAAGAGACTTCCTCTGGTGTCACTTGTTTTCCAGTGCTTGAAGAGTATTTAACGCACTAAATGGAACAATACTCTACACTCAGTGCTTTGCTGTGTGCTGATTCATGGTCCAGAGATCCACCTTTGCAAGCCTGCATTGAGGATGCTCAGGCTTCCACCCTTGCAGGATTCATGTTGGAGCACACACGGAGCTGGCTGGCTCTGCTCTCACTTTTCCCAAGCCTTTGGCAGAGCTGAGGTCAGCTCCTGGGCTGCAGCTGTTGGAACCAGCAGGCAGTAGTACCAGGCATGGGTGGAAAAATCCATGGTGTGAGCATCTTGGGAATGTTGAGGGTTTTTTGAAGTGTCATCTAAAGGCTTTAATCCACTGAATGGTCCCAGTGAAAGCTGCTGGCATCCATCATTTTGCTTGGCTCTATTTACCATCTGTACCTGGGTCCAGGAAACATTTTAACAGATGCTAGGAGAAGAGGAGGAGGCTTGTAACAACAGCTTTCTACTTTGCAGGATACCAAAGGAATGTACATGTGCAAGAATGAAAGGCAAGTACTGCAAGTGGATCGGAAACGGCTTCATTTTGTGACAGGTGGTTTTTGTATCCTGCAAGTGCAGCAGCTACAGTGGGGTAAGAATGAGGCATGTTTTGGGTGGCTGGGAGAACTGCTGGCTTTGAGAAACCCAGCACAGCACAAGAAGAATCCAAATTGGGTACAAATTAGGAGAAATGTAAGTGTTTTGTGAAATGTTGTGTGTATGCTGTGAAACATGGCTGATGCTGAGGGGCTGTCTGTGGCAGTGTCAAGACAGAAGAATTCATCAAGAGTGAGCAAGCTGCAGCATTCAGAACTGTGAAAATGTGAAATCTCCAGTGGCTTGCACTAGTAGAGATAGAAGTATGTGCAGAAGTCCTTTGGCTTTGGAAGATTCTGTGAGTCATCTCATGTTGGGAAGAGCTTGTGTTCCTACAGTTATATTTGTTAGTCCCTTGTCCAGTGACCTACGAAACCCTTCTTGGTCCTTGTGCTTTGGATGGAAGAAGAAATTCAAAATTACTTCAAAGCCACCTCTGGTAACTTCTTCAAAGGAGATGTAGTGTAGTCTTTGTTGTAGGTAACAGCCACCCCCGTCGCTGGGGCTATCAGTGTCATTTTTCTGGAGGGTGATGGTGGCAGAGGCAGAAAGCAGAAGTATGCCACAAAAGGGAACCAGCTGCTCTCCCATCCCACAGCATGGTGAAAAAGAGTGGAGAACTAGTACCCTTCTGGACATAGGCTTTATTCCAAGTGCTGGGAAAGAGAGTGAAAAATCCCTGAGATGCGGAAAAGGGGGAAGCAGGACTGCAGGCGGGATCTGGCCAGGATTGGGTCCCAACACCACAGCAGTGCCCTGGGGCCACTGGTGTGCTCTGCAGCCACCCACCAGGGCTCTGTCTCAGCTGCAGAGACATCGTGCACTGGCAACTGCCCACAGCCATATTTGATGTAGTGAGAGTGAAGACTTCGGGTGGAGCAGGAGTTCAGCAGCCACTGACATGCAGGATCTCCATTCGGAGAGGGCTGCCATGATCGGAGCCACAGGGAATACTGGCTTGTGACAGCCACACATGGAGGAGCAAGGGATGACCCTGATTTAGCCATTGGTGTCATGACTTACAAGAACGACCTCCAGACACGGAAAGAGTAGAAAAGGACTTCATGGGGACCATGGAGCTGGCAAGCACCCCAAGATACTGGTGGTGGCCGTAGCAGCTTTGCTGTGGATAAATTCTCCTATTTCCAAAGGGAATTTGTGACTACGTATCAACTGCCAAACAATGTGCTATCAATCTTTTTGTATGTAGATAAGGCATTTTAATGCAATATAGCTCAGCCTGCCTGCAGCAGACTAGACATACTGACAAGGATTAATAGTCCAGCGCAAGACTTGGCAGAATCACAAGCAGGGAGGACTCCTAACCAGGCAGCTGTTTGAGTCTTATATAAGCTGTCTAGACCAAACATGAAGAAACAAAGCCAATCCTGGCATTAGACTACCGCTTCTGCACAGACGGTCTCCAACCTACAGCTTTCATATCTGAGCTTGTGCAAAGTAAGGGAGAAACAGAGGGATGTTAGTAGTCAAGCCAACTCTGCATCAGGAAAAAGCCTGTGAGCAACTATAAAAATAATGGAAAAGAACAGTAATGAGTGAGATTTATTACAACTAGGAAAGCAGTTGACATTTTGCACGCAGAAAATATTGTGTTGCCAAGAATGTTTCCTCACAGTGAGCCCGCAGGAGTCAGGTAGAGCTGGGGAACATGGCTTATACTACAGCAACGGGGAGGATGCTCCTGGCAGAGAGCAACCTGGGAGAGAAGGTGCAACTTTTCCTAGTTCCTTGTGACTGATTCAGTGGAAAATCAAGTTCATTCAAAGAGAAAATATAACCAGAAAAGAGGCTGCTCTTGAAGTATTTCACGTCGCAAATAAGACAGAAGAGTCTGTGGCTGGGACAGGTGTGACTGTGAGAGACTGAAAACAACCAGGGCTGTCACCGGGGAGCAGCAGAGCAAGATATATCCTGTTGGTGGGTGATGGATTAGCCATGGGCAACTTGCAGATTGAAGGAAGCCAGAAGTTGGATGACACAACCAATCCTTGTGCCATGGGGCAGAACGTGACCCGCTGGGCGCAGCGCATGCAGGAGCCCTTTGTCACCGCGTTGTTTGGCTCATTAATGAATACCAGAACCAGTCTCGTACAGGTTGTTCACAACATTACATACGTCTGGCTTTTTTTTGGGAGCAGTGTGTCACAAGTGCCTGTTTTGCTGTTTCTTGCTGCCAGGGCCCAGAAGATACCAGCTGCTGGGCAGTGGGGTGCAGGGGGCCCTGGCTTGGTGGCCATGCAGAAGTTGGTTTCCCCCTGCCCAACCCGGAGGAGCTCTCCCATGGGGGACTGCCTGCAGCCATCCTGACAGTGAGAGCAGACTGTGCCCAGGGACTCTGGGGCTCTTTGGCTTTGCTCGTGGCACAGCTTCTAGGAAGCCCCTGTGAAAGACCATCACATTTGGGAATGTCTGTAACCTGGTTTTTAAGTTACAAGGATTGGTATCTTCCCTGTACCCCTTGTCCTTATTCCAAACCCTTCCTTTATTGGCTATAGCAGATCTCAGCATTGTGATTTATGGGCTCCAGAGGTGTCCCAAAAAAGGGAAAAAATAGCTGTGTTCAGACAGTGTGACAAAGAAATTGGAGAGATGGGGGGGGTGTGGGGACGGACGGGTCACCTCTTAGGAATGTCCTGCCTATGGAGATGCTGGAGCAGCCTCCTTCCCTTGCTCACATGGTCAGAGCCTTGTACAGGCATTTAGAGCTGAGTTGGAATCATAGCAGATCTGTGACCTCTTCTCTGGACTGGCAGAGTTTTCTGCCCAGCTCCAGGTGTTGCTTGTGAGATGGCAAAGAGCTGGAACAGCCCCACACAGCCACTTACCTGCATTAAAGCAAGCAGGACTGAGTTTCCTGGCTACCAGCTGTGCCTCTGCTCAGGTCTCCATCCTTATGGCTGCCTGCAGGCTTGCTCTTGCCCTGAATGGCACACAGAGCTCATCCTAGCCCTGCACACATATTGCTGTCCTGACCACATGCCAGCCCTGCTCCAGCCTCTGCCTCCCATCTCCCTCTGCTCCCAGCGGACGCAGTGCTCTTGCCAGCCTCTGGCTGCATCCTCTGATGCTGTGCAGCTGCTCCTGTTGGCAGCATTGCACCGGCACAACCAGGTGCTTGGCACAGTGAGATACAGCAGGAGCATCTGGCTCAGTGCAACAGCTCTTCCCTGCATCACTGGGCCCCACGCAACACTCTGTGTGCCACGCATCGCTCATAACGCTGTGGAGTGCCTGCACCTCTGTGGGCAACAGGAGCAGGCAGACCGATGAACGGACCTGCTGGTTCTCTTGTGCACGGGATGGTATACACAGCAGAGGTTCAGCCCCAAAGATTGATGCTTGAAACAAATCAGAGCAAAGAAAAGTGGTGCGTGCCAGCTGGGTATGATGAGAACTGGAGACCTCAGTGCCTGCAACAGCATTGCTCCTCCTCAGGCAGATGTGGGACCTTCCTCATCACACAGCTCCTTCACATCTTGGTGATGTGGCATCCACAGTTCTGGTAGGAAGCTGTACAGTGCCCGTGCCAAAGCAGGATGTGAGGAATTAAATACTTCTGATCCTGCCCTGGCCTTGAGCAGAATGTGAGTCACATTTGAGAAATGGGTACATCTGTTTAGGAAGGAGTGTTCTGTCCTGAGCGAATGGCATCGGTTGTGCCCAGGCATATGGCCCCCATGGCTGCTCTGGGCAGACTCATGCTGAAGGGTTGGCAGAGCTGCAGCATTGCTGTGCGTTCCTTACCTCCTTCTCTTGAAGCCACCTGATGCTCAACTGCGTGCTGAGCGGGAAATAGGCAAATCCACAGCACCAATGTGGATGTGCAGTCCCCAGGAGGAAGAGGAGGAGGCACAAAGGCTGGCTGCCTGCCTCCCTCCTTCAGCTGGGAGGTAGGTGCAGCCTCACATGGCTGGAGGACCTTCTCCACTGCCTGGGCACCTTGGGGCCCTGAGCCATGGGAACTGATCCCCAAAACTCAGCCAGCATGATGTCACTGCTTGTAATAGCTCCGTGGGAGCTGCCCTGGATGTTGGCATGCAGAGGAGCAGCATCGCTGTGTTACACGTGTGCTTGTTGTGCAGCAAAGCCAGGAGCTTTCCTCCTCCTCCTCCCTGAGTGCATGCGGTGGCTTTTGGTAGCCAGGGGCAGGGGATAGAGGCCTGGCACAGGCATCCCGTGGGGGCGGCTCTCTTTGCTTTACTTCTATAGGATTATTAGAATCTCCTACAAAGACTGTGTTCAGCTGGGTGCACACACAGCAGCTCCCCAGGGTCACTGCTGCAGAGAGCCCAGGGGATGCAGTGCCATCAGCACTGAGCATACAAAGGTGCTGCAGGATCACAGCTTTGGGTAAATGTGGCAAAGAGAGGCACAAAGGGACACCTTAACAGGTAGTGATGCACAGCAGTTACAGGAGGAAAGCTCTGCATTTGTTGAGACTCTCGTGCTCCAGGCTGCCCTATCAGCACAGCTCAGCCATGCTCCCACCCATGGGTGCTGTGCAGGACCTCTGAGCACACAGTGCCCTCCTGCACCCACCGGGCTGATCCCAACGAGCCCCAGGGAAGGGGCCAAGAGCTGCAGTCCGGGAAGAAGCTCCGGGCACATTTACAGCCAAATTTGGGTGACTTTTGCTCAAAGCCCGAGTCGGACGGAAATATCTCCGTGCTGTTTCTCTCCCGTCGATTTCTAATTCAGAATAAAAGTTTCCTTTTACACAAACAAACTTCGGCGCGGTCGGGCGGTCCGTGCCCACCCGGGGCTCCGCACCTCGGGGGCCTCACCGGGGGCTGCCGGACCGCGGGGGGAAGCCGGGCCCGCTCCCACCGCTCCCCACCCTCCGGGGGCGGCCGTGCCGAGGCGGAGCCGGGGCGGGACGGCGGGACCGGTCGGGGCCGTCCCGCCCGGAGCGGAGAACCAATGGCGGCGGTGGGCGCGGGCGGGGCAGCGCGGGGCCGGGCCGGGCGGGAGCGGGACTGCGCGGGCTGCGGGAGCGGGCCCGGCCCGGTGCTGTATCGGCAGCGGACGGGACTCGGAGCCTCGCGGGGGGCAGCGGGCGGGCACGATGTCCCAGGAGAGCCTGCAGGGCATGGACGAGGGCACGCTGAGAAAGCTGGTGAGTGCCCGCACCGCGGGGCGGGGGGAGGGCAGGAGGAGCGCTCGATGTGCCCGCGGGCGGCACCGCTCCCGCTGCAGCGTGGTGCCCGGTGCCCTCGGGCCGGGCAGAGAGCGGGGCTGCTGCGGGGAGCTGCTGCGGGACGGCGGGGGGAGCTCCGGGCGCTCCCTCGGCGCTCTTCCGGCTGTGCCCCCCATCGCCCGCTTTGCTCGGACTGACATCCGTCCGTCGGCTCCGTCCCCTCGGCCGGCGGTTCCCCGCTGCCAGCCTGGCTCGCGGTGCGGTGCCGGGCGGGACGCGCTGCCCGCCATCTGCCACGCGTGCCCCGGGTCTCTGCTTCCCGCTGGCCCGGCTCCAGCAGCCGAGCCCTCCCCGGCCACCTGCTTCCTGCGGGCATCCCGGCGCTCCCGGAGCAGCTTCCTGCCGGCCCCGCTCCGTGCCAATCCCTTGGCTGCGTTGTTACGACCGGCCTGGGATGGGTGCTGTCGTGGGCCGTGGATCGCCCCTCGTGCGGCCCTGCGGTGGGAGTGGGCTTCGACCCACCCGGGGATCCGCGCTGGGAAGCCGCTTTGGGACGTGAGCTGCCGCCCGGTTCGGTGCCGCTCGGCCGCCTGCCCGCTTCCGTGCGCTGAGCCCCGCGCCGGCTCCGCGGGCTGTTTGGGGAATGGAGAGCGGCAGGAAGCTGAGTCAACTCGGAAAGAACGTCCGCGGGGAACAGGAAAGGGTCGGGGTGCCGCTGGGACAGCACGGAGGTCAGCACGGGGTCCGTGCAGCCCGCAGCTCCCAGCTGTCCTCAGTCTGTTGTGAGCGCAGCTCACAAACCCATCTTCAGCCCTGGGGATGTGGGAATGGGTGCTCGGAGTTTCTCCTGGCTCTCTGCTTCCCACCTGAGGCCGCAGGGAGCCGAGAATGAGGCAGTGCTTCTCCATGGGGCTGTCACCATTTGACCACAGGGTGCTTCACACCTCCTCATCCTTTCCCACCACAGCAGGCTGCATGCAGGTGCTGCTGGCTGGCTGTGCGGGTGTCCGGGGAAGGACTGAGCCCGTAGGGCTGCACAGCACTCCGGGACTGCACTGATGTGTGCTGCTTCTCTCCATCCTGCTGCAGCTCTGGGTCTCTGTAGGATGATGTTCCCCTGTCCCTGAATGGCCTCATCCCACGGCTGCCCGCAGCTCTCCCTGTGCCCATGCAGCTGGAGGAAGCCTGCTCCGGGCTGACGTGAGCTGGGGAAGGAATTTTTTTTTTGGTTAGGTTTTGGCTCCGCTTAGCTGGAAGAGGATTAGCCCATATAAGGGAAAACTGCCTGCCTCTGCCGCCGCTTCCTCCCTGCTCCTTCTCTCTCCCCATCCCTTGGTTCCTTGTTCTCCTCCTCCTTTCTCCCAGTGGCAGAACTCCCAGCAGCTCTCTGATGTCCCCGGGGTGCCACCGTGTGGGACCTGAGGGCAGCCCGGAGCGGGCGCTGGCTCCCCGCAGCGGTGAGAGGGGCAGGTGCTGCTGTGGGGCTCATCCTGGCCGGCAGGGACCGGGATGCTGCTCTGGCTCTTTTCCCCAGCGCTGAGTTTCCCTGCGGCCGAGCTCCAGCTGCTCAGTGCCTCTCTGTGCACTGCCTATCCCAAAGCTGGATGGAAAGCCTGGGCTAATTAGAGCTAATTATGGCCCTCTGCTGGTGGACGTGCCCTGGGCTGAGGCAAGGCTGAGTGCTGCCATGCTCGGGCATCACCAGGAAAGCAGCCCGTGGTGACTTGCCAGCACCCTCCTCACAAAGCCACTTTGTGTGGGACGAGGCGGGCGTTTGCTCACAACCATTAATTTGCTGTGGGCTGGGCAGGGCCCATGGGGCCCTGGCATGTGCCGAGCTCAGGGCTTGTCACTGCAGGGCCCCACGGCCCTTCCAGCCCTGGCTCCAGCTGTGGTTTCCGGCACGTTGCCCCACGAGCCGTGTGTTTGCTGTGTGCTGGCTCCATGCTGACGTGGGCTTGGGACGGGGCTCCTGCTGTCCTGCCGCCATCTCTCCTGCAGAGGAAAGGCTGAACCCTCCGGGACCCAGGTGCAGGTCAGACCCTGTCCATCAGATGCCCGTGGGAAGGGCAGACCCTGGTTCTTCTCCTTCCCTCCCTCTTTGTTGCTGCCTTTGCACCCCGGCCACAAAGCTCAGAGCTCCTGTGCTGGGTGCCGGAGCTGCAGAGCACGCAGTCGGCAGCTTGTTTAGCAAATGGTCAGGGCCTCAGCCTCCCAGCATGGGGTGGAGAAGTGTTTTTGTGTCCTTAAGGCCTTTACACAGCTGCAGGGCGCCTTGTCGCCTCCTTTCCATCCTCCCGGCCCATTGCAGAAGTCCCTCAGGAGGCCGTGGGTGTTCAGATGGCAGCTCTGCCCAGCTTTGCCTGGGGCTCTGCTGCTGCCTCAGGACCTTCTGTGCAACAGGAACTGGGATTGCTGCAAGATGGGGCAGCCCCAGGGCCTCTTGCTGTGGCCTTGGGCCTCTCCTGTGCTGTCTGCTAGGGCAGAGGCTTCTCCATCTGCAGGGATGCCATGTAGGGCTGTGAAGGTGGGCTGGGGCTGTTCGCATGCCTGACCTTATGTCTCAGTGGTGCTGAGCTCACCAAAGCTGTGCTCCGGGACCCTGCTGTGTGCTGAGCCTGCAGGGAAAGGGCTGTTCTGTTGCAGAGGCTGTGACTCCGGATGAGAGCTCACACCCTGCAGCACGTGGCACAGGGCTGCAGCCCCCAGATCTGTCCCCGGGAGGCGGATGCTCACACTGCTGCAGGATGCTGATATGGGATGCTGATATCACTGCACGGCAGGGGGTGCTGGGAAGGACATGGGAGGGAGCATGTTTGCTTTAAGCTGCAACCCCTGATGACAATGATCCTCATTTCCAACACTGTGCTGCCCAGCAGGAGCTGACCCACATGGGAAGGTGTCCCTGAGGGTGGCAGGGTGAAAAATGCTGCTCCCAGATGGGTGTCGGTGGCTTTGCAGGGATGGGCTGCGTTAGCAGATGCACTGTGTGCCACGGGCCTGCAGCAGGCTGCAGCCTCCATCAGTTTGTTGCACGCCTGGAGACAAGAGCTGTGCTTCTGGCCCTGCTGTGACCTGAAGCTCAGTGACCAGTTGGTTGGCCTGGCAATGTCCTGTGGGAATGTGAGGAAGAGAACTGCTGCCTTCGCCCTTTGGTGTGGCCGCTGCTGCTCCCAGCATGCCGGGCCCTGATGCTGACAGCAGCTGCTACAGGTCACAGGGTTTATTTTTAACAAGCTCCATGGGAAATCGTTTTCCCGGTTCCCTCGTTGTGAGCCAGTGCTTGGGCAGGGCCTGATGTCCCGCAGCAGAGCTATACCTGCTTTGTGCAGGGGCTGCTCTGAGCGCAGGCTGCTGGCACAGCTCACGCTGCAGCTCTGCTCCAGAGGAGGGGAAGCCCCCTGTGTGCTGCTGCAGTGCTGGGTGCTGCGCCCGCTCCCTGGGGCGATGTCCAGCTCTGGCCGACATCACGTCCCATCCCACACCGGGGTCGGGCCGCCCCTCGTCCCCCGGAGCGGGGGCAGACAGTGCCAGGCAGTGTGCGCCAGGCGCGTGGGCAGCACGGGACAGACGGCCCCATTGTGCCCAGCACCCAGCCCTGCCCTGTCCTCCCAGCTGGAGGCGACGCTGGATCTCGCCGAGCGGCGCCGCATCCGCTCAGCCATCCGGGAGCTGCAGCGGCAGGAGCTGGAGCAGGACGAAGAGGCGCTGGCCTCCAAACGCTTCCGCACCGAGCGCGGCAGCCACCGGCAGGACAACAAGGAGAACTGGCTGCGGTGAGTACCTGGGGCACGGCGGGATCCCGGCACCGTTGGCTGTGCGGGACTTTGCTCCCGTGCGGCTCTCACCCCTGGCTTCGGCGCAGGTCCCAGCAGCTGGAGGAGGAACAGCAGAAGGCCCTCGCCTCGCTGTCCCGGGAACTCGAGTCCATCACCGATGTGGAGGAGCTGACAAAGCTGGTGAGTGCCTGATGGCGGGGTGGCACGAGGGAGCTGGGTGGCACGAGGGAGCTGGGTGCCGCCGAGCTCTCGCTGTGCCTCACTCCTGGCTCTGCCCCTCCGCAGCTGCGGGCAGCCAGCGAGTACGAGGAGCGCAAGCTGATCCGCGCCGCCATCCGCAAGCTGCGGGCTGAGGAGATCGAAGGTGAGGTCCCTGTGTCTGGGCTGCACTGCAGATGCTGGGATGCGACCGATTCCTTCCTGAACTTTACCTTATTTCTTCCACTCAGCTGCAACCCTGGCTGGGAACGTGCAGAGCAGCCGCAGGGATGGTGCTGAGCCTGCAGCCGTGCCCGCACGTGCAGAACGCAGCAGGAGAGATGATGCTGAAACGGCAGCTCTGGTTGGGAATGGGGAGAGCTCCCAGAGGGCAGGCTCTGAGCTGCCGACCGTGGTGAGTGTGGAGAGCAGCACTGAGCCTGTGGAGAACAGCCGGAGGGGCGATGCTGAACAGCTGGTGCTGACCAGGACGGAGGAGAGCAGCCATGAGGGGGATGCAGACAGACTGCCTGCTGAGGAGCCTGAACGCTCCGTGGTGAGTGCTGGTGGGGGTGCCACTGGGAATTGCTGAGTCCTTTGTTTGTACCAGCTTCCTGGGGGCACAAATCCCTGTGCGTGTGTGTGACTTACCTGCCTTAGGGGATTGGGGTGGGTGACGCTGGTGGTGGAGGTCTGCAGGGACATGGGGATGTGACTGTGCTCAGGACACCAACTGTGTGTCACATCCTGAGGTTGTGTGAGTGATCCCTGCTAGTCTTTGAGAGGATTGGTCCTGCTCCAGGACTAGGCTGGTGCCCAGTAGTGATGGATGAGCTGGTGGAGCAGGGGCAGGGCTGGGAGTGGTGGGTGCGAGCCCAAGCTCCCTGCCTAGCAGTGGTGGTTGCACTGCAGGGCATGGCAGCTTTGTGGTGGTTGAGTGTCCTCCCAAGGACACAACGCAGGGCTCCCACTTGAGAGGGAGGGTGGGGAAGGAATAAGCAGTGGTTTGACCCCCAGGCTACCTCTGTTCAGCTCAGCTTTCCATCTGCCTCCCCCAGGGCCCGTATAAGGCTGGTGGCAGGGGAAGGGAAGGTGACCCTGTGCTATTTCCTTCCTGGTCAGCATCTGCTGGCACTGCGGCACCCCCAGCACACAGCTGTCTGAGTAGGGGTGTTTCCTATCAGACAGCCCATCTCACCTCACCTGGACAATTTATCCAAAATCTAAAGCATTTCCCTTAAGCATAGACATGGTGAGGTACACATTTTGGCAGTGGTTTCCTTCATGCATCCCTTGGCTGTGGTCCCCTCTCTGCCTCCCCCCATCCTGTAGTTATACCAGGATCTCAGTTCACGTTGCCCTGGGCTGGTGCTGCACTTCCCTTGCCCCTTTGTGGCACCGTGCCACCTCTCCAGGACACTCATCTCCTAGCAGCCTTCTGCAGTAACCCTGGTGCAGGGTGTGAGCTGCTGTGTTTGATGAAGTCTCACCCCTTGCCCTGCAGCATGGGGATGGCACAGGAGGAGGCTGCAATCTGCAGCGTGTCCCTGACCAGGTGGCAGGATGGGACAGTGCTACTGGAAGCAGCATTCTGACCCACCTTGCATGAGGATGTGCCTGGACGCAGTGGGGTGGAAGCAGCTATGGGGCTGGCTGGGCTTTTACCCCTGCTTTCTTCCAGGCCCATGAGCAGGAGGAGGAGCAGGAGCACAGGCAAGCTGAGCTGCAGAACCTGAATAGCCAGCAGCTGAGAGAACCCCAGAAACCCCCTGCCCAGGGTGAGTCCATGTCTGCAACACATTCCAGGGGAAGAGCAGAGCTTGGGAGTGCAGGAGAAAGTGAAGTTTGGGAAAGAAATGGAGGATGGAGGGGCTGCAGGGTGTCTCCTGAAAAGCCTGAGCTGGCAGCCAGGTGCTTGGCTGGGGCCATAGGAGTGGGGATGCTGTACAGAGCCTCATATTTGTCCTGCAGCCACAGCCTCAGGGACCCTGGTTCTCCTGGACCTGCACCCAGCCCTTGAGCCCACTGCGGCCCCACAGCCCGAAGAGCAAACCGCAGAGGTGGAGCTGCACACCAAGCGGGCATCTGAGTGTGAGCTGCAATACCAGGAGGAGGGATCTGGCAGCCCCTGTCCTGTGCAGGAGCCCAACGTGGAGCCAGCAGAGGCCCCGTGCAGCACAGGACAGAGCCGCCAGGCGGAGCAGGACGGCCCAACACAACCCTGTGCTGTCACTCAGAGTGGCCAGGTATGGGAACAGTGCATTGATGGGTGCTGGGAGCCACCCAGACCACAGCCCCCAAATTTTCATTACAGAGTTGGAGGTGCCACACATGGCACATGGTCTGTCACGGTGCTTGCCCCTCTGAGCTGCTTAGGTCAGATTTTGCCAGCTCCCCAGCTCATTGTGTTGCCCCTTTCCCCCCTGCAGTTTGTCATCTGCGTGCGAGGCCAGGTGTCGGGGAAGGCTGCGATGCCACAGGAGAAGCCAGCGGGTAAGGGCTGCCCCAGCACCCCCAGGCCATCCCCTGTGAGCCCAGGGGGATGCATTGCCCTGTGTGGGGCAGGACGGACCTCTGGGGATGGGGATGCAGCGCCTGATTGGGCTCAGGGCCTGCTCAGGCCTGGGCCAGGCAGTGGGGTGGCAGGCACGGTGTTTACAAGTCCCCCAGCTACCGGCCGGGCTGCTGCAGGGCCATGAAAGGGAATCTGTGCGTGCAGCAAACCTCGGCCTTTTGCATTCTTTGTCCCAATAAGGCTGGAGCTGAGCACCGGTCCAGCCCTGGCCCCCCCGGGGCTGTGCTTGCTGGCCTGGCCGGGGGCTGTGCGCTGCTCTGGGCCCTCCGTGCCTGGCCGGGTGCTCTTGGCAGCCCAGAGAGATTGTGTTGGGCAACTGATGCCCTCCTGCTGCTGTTGGGAAAGTGTTTCCTTTCTTCTGTGCCAGAAGGAAATAAGGCCAAATGGGAGCTTGCAGCTGTGGGCACCTCAGGGTCATGGCCCTGCAGGGAGCCTCCAGTGTGGCACAGACTCAGGCCTGGTGGCTGAGGAAGGGCTGAGCCCTGCTGCCCTGGGGCAGAGAAGGGGCAGCTGAGCAGCTCGGCTCCCTCCTGCATGCCATGGAGCCTGCATAGTGCTGGCCCTGCTCTGCTGGGGTCCCATGGGATCTGGGATAATCACACAGCCCCTGTGTTCCTCCATCACCCTCCTGTGCTCTGTGGGGTGCACCGAGCTCCAGGGACATGGGTGACACTGGGAAGAGCTGACATCCCTGCTTCATTCTGTGCTCACTCTCTGCTCCCTCCATCTCATTCCTTGCACACGGACACGGCCTGTCCCTTCCCGGCTGATAGCACCCACCCAGAGCACAGCACGGACCCCATCTCGCCTCAACGCTCAGCGCTGGGAACAAACACCATCCTCACCATGCCCACAGGGCCACGCAGGTGAGGCCACATCTTGACTGCTGTGCTCCATTCGGGGCTTCCAGCCGTGTGTGCGTGGACAGGCAGAAGCTCAGAGAGCTGCCGGGCACCCGGGGGGCAACATCTCTGTGGGCGGCGTGCATGGGGACGGCATGCATCGTGGGGACGGCATGCACTGCAGGGATAGCATGCACTGCAGGGATAGCATGCACCGCGGGGAGGCTGGGGGGCGGCGTGCATCGCGGGGTGCCCGGGCTGCATGCACGGGGTGCACTCGACGTGGCACCCATCTGACCCGGCTGCTCCGTCCCCCGCAGAGCCGAGCCCCGTGCAGCGCTCCTCCTCGGTGCGGGAACGCGCGCAGCGCTTCACCCCTTCGGGCGCGACCCCGGTGGGCGCCGCGGGGCGGCAGCGGGCGGCGGCGGGCGGCCCCGAGGGGGCGGGCGGCGCTGCGGGGCGGGCCGGACCCGGCCAATGGCAGCGGGGGCCTCGCACGGCCCCGCCGGGTCCCGATCAAAACGCGAGGGGAGCCGGTGGCGGAGGAGCAGAGCAGCGCCCGCCGCACGCCGGCCCCCGCCCCGCCGGTACCGGCCCCACCGCCGCCCACGACGGCATGAAGACGTACTTCACCATCGAGATCAAGGATGGGCGCGTGCAGCCCCACACGCAGTCCGTCACGCCCCGCATCGTGGCCGCCCCCGGCAGCCAGCGGGCAGGTGGGCACCGGGCGGGCGGCACGGGGACAGTGGGGACGGTGGGTAGCCAGGGAACGGCAGGGAGGGTCGGCGCCCGGTGGGGCGTTGTATGGTTGGATGTACGGTGGGTGCTGCTAAGACAGGCAGGTGGGGGAGCAGTGGTGGGATGTGGGATGCTGGGGGCCCAGCGTGGGCTCTGCAGAAGGGCAGGAGCGTGGCAGCCCTCGCCCTTTGGCTCCAAAGCTTGTCCCTGTCCAGGTGCTCCCTCCTGTCCCACAGTCCTTCCTCCAATCCTACAGCCTTGTCCCCTCCTGGCCCTGCAGCCCAGCCCCAGAGCACAGCACAGCCCCGTGCTCTTGCCCTATCCCCACAGACCCGCCTCTGTGCTGGCATCGTGCAAAGTGCCATCCCCGCTGCTGCCCTGTGTGCCATGCAGCCCTGCCTGCCCGTATCAGGACAGGATGCCTCTGCTCGCTCTCCGGGGCTGTCCCTCACGCCGGGAGGTCTTGGCTCCCCCTGGAGAGCTGCGGGAAGTGTCCATCTTAGGGGTGAAGGCATGCTGGGGGGGCCTGGCTCCCCCCTGACGCAGCAGCTCCCACATGCTTTAGCGTCCCCGCAGCCCTCTCTGTGCACCAGAGCTCAGAGCTCTGCCGCAAGAGCAGGATGCGCCGGAGCCGGTGCCTCTCCCCATCTGCGGGCACAGGGCTGAGCCTGTCGGGCTGGAGCGCTTCCCGAGTGCCCGCAGCTTCCTTTGCAGAGCTCACCCTGGGGCTGAGGAGCACTCCCATCCGCATCACCGCCATCCCCAGCAGCACCGGTATCTGCAGCATCACCACCAGCAGCAATGTCGTCAAAGTGAGTGCGCTCAGGGCCCTGGGTGTGGGGTGGGAGCAGCCCCGTGCATCGAGGCAGGTGCTCGGTGCTGGCAGCGTGGTTGGGGGGCTCTGTTGTGTGGATAGGGGAGCCCCCAGGGCCTGTGTGGAAACCCACGTCCTTGTCCAGGTGAGCCCCCCCTGTGCCACAGTGTGTAGAGATGTTTAGAGAAGGGAGTGGGCAAGTTTTGTGCGTTTCCCCCTTTGTTCTCAGCTACCTCGTAGGGTTGTGGCAGCTCAGGGAAACCCACTGCCATCCAGCCCTGTGTTTTCCATTCTGGGAATGAAGCTTGGCCATGAGGCTGGGGAGCATCTCTAGGGCCCTGCTTCAGGGGCTCTGCCCTGCAGTCTGCCCTGGGTCCTGCCTCTTCCTCCTTCTGTGCTCTCCAGCTGTGCCTGCCTGGTGCAGGGGGATTCTTGGGGACAACTGGAAAAAAAAAAAAAAAAAAAGGTAAACCCACCCCGGCTCCGATCTGGGTGGAGATGAGGACACAGCCCTGGGTGCTGCAGTAGCAGGGCTGGAGGTGCCTAGAAGGCAGCACGGTGCTTACAGCTCTTCAAGTGCTTTTATCTGCTGTTGGCCATCTAGGGCAATGCAAAGCGTGCGCGTGTGCAGTAGTGTTGGCAGGAGCTGGGATGTCCAGAACTGTGCTGCCTTGCTCATGGGGCCAAGTGCCTGCCTGCTTCTCCGGGCATGGCCATGCTGGTGGTCAGGGTGCTGCTCGCTTGCTGTGGGCCCAGCTCGGTGCTCACCTTGACAGGCAGGCAGCAGGTGCTGCCCATGCCAAAGGTGCAGCTCTCTGCCCACGGAGGGTGACAGCCCCACACTAATGCGCTCACGCAGGCTCGGCCCTGCGGTCTGTCAGCTCTCATTAAGGTATTAGCAGTGTTGTGGCACCGGGTGGGTGCTTGGGGACCAGGGCTGGACACGACCTCCAGGTGTGCTGCGAGCGGGCAGGGAGGAGGAGGAAGAGAAGGAAGAAGGGGCTGTGGTGCCCTCGGCCCTGCCAGGTAGGGGTCGGTCTGACCCACGGTGTGTGTGGGGCCGGGAGCTGCTGCCTTTTGCTGGGAGTGCTGCGTGCGCCTTGGGAACTGGCGGGTGTGGAGCTCACGGGGCTCCACGCAGCAAGGGGAGGTGAGACCCATGGTCACAGGCGGTGGCATTGCCCTGCACGGTGCTTGCCTGAGGCCAGGGCTTTAAGCTGGGTGGGTGCCACGGGGCAGGATGGCTGCAGGAAGTTGTGCAGGAGGGGCTGCCTGCACGCAGCAGAGCAGCGCTGCTGGGGTGGATCCTGCAGGGTTTCTGCTACTGCCTGCCTTTCTCGCAGAGCCCCGCTGTTGCGTGGCCACAGTGGCAGCAGCTGCCAGGCCGTGGGGACAGAGGCAGGAGGAGCCCGTTCCCTGCAGCAGCCACCAGGGCCCCCCTTTGCCGGGCCACCTGGTCCTGCGGGGCCTGGAAACACTTCCAAGTGTCAACGCCTGCCTCGGCGCCCCTGCACGGGACCCCCGGCCGTGCTGCGACAAGAATAGCCGGGCCGGCCTCCAGCCGGGGGTGGTGCCCCTGCAGCCCCTATAAAGGGCAGGGGACAGCTGAGAGGGGCCCGCTGCGGCACCCGCAGCCCTGGAGCCCGCCGGCAGCATGCCGGGGATCAGCCTGGAGGGCCTGGCTCAGGCCGGGGTGGCCGAGCTGGAGGAGCTGCGGCGGGAGCTGCAAGCCTTCGGGCGGGCAGTGGAGGGGCAGCTGGAGCAGGCCATGCGGCAGGTGCAGCCCCTGGCCCGCGCCCTGCGGGATCTGGAGGAGGAGCACCTGGTGCTGCGGGCCGAGCAGGCGCGTCTGGGCCGCCGGCTGGACCTGCTGGCCCTATGGCTGGCACCTCCGGAGCCTGCGGAGAAGGACCTCAGCACCCTGTTTCTGGAAGCACAGGACCCTTGCGCTCATTTTGAGGGCACCGAGGAGTCCGGCAGCCCGGTGGCCCATCCACCCACTTTCTCCAGCACGCGCCAACAGTCGACCCTGCACCTCTCCCGGAGCGACAGCTTTGTGAGTGCAGGCCGGGCTGAGCCTGGCTGGGCTGCCCCATCCTGGGCAGCACCCGCTGGGGGGGCACGGTGCCGGGGCCGAGGAGAAACCATCGGCTGGGGGTGGGATGGGTGTGCAGTGTGGCTGGGATCAGCTGCAATCACAGCCTGCTGCTGTGGGAGGCCGGTGCTGGGCAGGGCTGCGAGCCAATGGCGCCTGCCTGCTTCGCATTGCTGGCGTGCCGGCCGCGGGGCAGCTGTCCCGGCCCTTGCGTGGGCTCGCCTCGCGGTCGTCAACTCGCCCTGCAGTGGCCCTGGGCTCTGTGCTGCTCCTCCTGCCCAGAGCTTCACTGCGGTGTGCTGCGTTGCTGGCACTGGGCTGAGCCACTGGGGAGCCAGCCGGTGCCAGTAATGCGTGCCCTCACGCCTGGCAGCGGTGTGAGATGGGGCCAGGTGTGCAGCGGGGCTGCCTTGGCCCAACACCTCCCACCCGCTGCCTCCAGGCCCTATTCTGGGACTGGAGAGCTGCCCACGGCGCATTGCTTGGGGGTCGTGCTGAAAGGGACTTGGTGTCCTGGCCGTGCTCCCGCGGGAGCTGAGCTGGCCTAGTTCCTGAGCGGAGATGACGAGGAGGCTCCTGATCTCCTGTGCAAGCTCTTCTTTCTGCTAAGTCCTTTAATTCCCTGGAAATCCCTTGTGCTGCTAATGGTGTGCACTGGCTTTGCCAGCACCTTGCCAGCTTTAGGGCATGGTGCCCCCCCTGCCTCACCGGAGGCCCTGGTAGTGGCAGTGGGTCGTAGGTGTCTGCAGGCTGCAATTTGGAGACATTTTGGCAGCAGGTACAAGAGCACCTAGGGCCTCCTGGGGCAGGGTGGGCTGCAGTGTGCTGAGTGCTGGGGATGTGGCATTCTGCCTGCATTGGTCACTGCTGACATCCACGGCGTACCACCAGCCGTGAGCTCCTACACCACACAGTGCATCCCCACAGTCCCTGCTGCCTGTGGCACTGGGCAAGCATCGGGTTCATTAGGGGGTGAGACTGGTGAGACTCAGGCATGCCGTGCTCTCCTTGCAGCCGATGGAACCGGAGCTGGTGGTGGAGCAGCCCCAGGCACCGAGGCTGCAGCCAGAACTGCCCAATGGCATGGAGAAGGTCCAAGTGAGGGAAGTGGAGAAAAAGAGCAAGCTGAATGTCGAAGAGCTGAACAGGATCGAGGATGAGAGTGTTCTGGATAAGATGGTACGTCCTTCACTGTGATGGCGCGGGCTTCTAAGGGCGAGATACAGGCTGGAGATAAAGGGGTTTGGAACTGGGTGGGAGAAGAGAGCAGAGGGGCCGTGCTGACCTCCTTCTTCCTGCAGCTGGATCAGACCACGGACTTTGAGGAGCGACGGCTGATCCGTAATGCCATGCGGGAGCTGCGCCAGCGCAAGCGAGGTAGTTGGCAGCTGTGGGAGGGGGGAATGCTGATACCCCGTGTGGGGTCACAGACCTTGCATCTCGCTGCTGACACCATCTCCTTTGTGCATTTGCAGACCAGCGGGAGAAGGAACGGGATCAGCGGCTGCAGGAGATGAAAAGCCAGGCTACAGTGAGCAGGGCTGGCCACAACACTGAGACCACCACCACGCAGAGCACCCAGTCAGCCGATGGCTCAGCCCGCAGCACTGTCACCAAAACTGAGCGCCTCATCCAGTCTAGTAAGAGCAGGGCTCTGCAAGCACCACGCTTGCTGCCGAGATTCACCACTAGTTTTCTGTCTGCCATTCTCTGTGCTTGCCCTGGCTGGGACCACTGGCATTTCCAGCATTAGCCCAGCCTGTGGCATGCACCAGGCTTTGCAGAGCCCAGGGCAAGGGACAGTAGAGAGCTGGGCATCTTCGGTTTTCTCCCTGTGCAGGGAGGTGACAGCATAGCACACGGGGTCAGCTGCATCCTGCAGAGAGCAAGACCCTGGTTTAAGGCCAGATTTCACTTGCTTCATCAGCCTCCTGCTTTAGCCTTTCTGGGGCCTGAACCCTAAGGGGATCTGCTCTAGTGCCTTCCCACCTAACCCATGTTCCCCATTGGGGTGGCACGGGGCATGTGGGCCCTCTCCTGTCACCCACACTTCTGCCAGCTGACTCAAGCTGAGAGTAGCTGTCTGTGGCTGCTCCAGCCGTCCTGCCTCACTGCTCCATCACTCTGGCCTCTCTGTTCCACCTGGTTGCTGCCTAGGGGCACATAGTTTCTGTCTCACCCCCATGCTTATGCAGGATGTCTCCCTGTCGTGCTTTGTGGACATGCTCCCTGCCGTGCTGTGTGGAAAGCTGACCCCCCTTTGCTTTATCCCCTGCAGATGATGGCAACAAGACTTCCCGCACAACAACCATGGAGTCAAGTTATGTGAAGAAATCAGACAGTAAGAGCTTTAGCTGCCTTTTATCAATGGCATCCTTAGTGCTGCAGAGCACATAGCAGAGCTTCCCCAGCCTGCCCAGGTTCCCCAGCCTGCCCAGCTCTGCTGCTCCATGACTCCTACCTGAGGCCTATTTCTCCTTCTCTGCAGATGGCAGCAGCAGCACGTTTGTTCAAACCAAATCATCCTACAGCTCATCTTCCAAGAAGACAGGCAGGTGAGTGGTGATGCCATCAGCCAGGAACCTTGAGCTGTGCTGGTTCTGTCCTACGAGCGTGGAGTTCTTTGAGCTGCAGGGATGAGGAGGGGCTGAGAATGACTATGTTCCTTTCTGCACTGAGGCTTTGCCTGTGTCTCTTGCAGCATCTTTGACCGGGAGGATGAGAGTGCCTCAAGGCAGAGCAGCTTGGCTGCACTGGAACGACGCCAGGCTGAGAGAAAGAAGGAGCTGATGAAAGCTCAAAGCCTGCCCAAGACATCAACCTCACAGGCTCGCAAGGCCATGATTGAGAAGCTGCAGAAAGAGGGCGGGAGGTGAGGACATGCCAGGCAAGGAGCAGTTGGGGCAGCAAGCATCACATGCGTTACCCTCTGTGTTTTCTCCCTCAGCTCTCCAAACCCTGCAGCACCGCGTGCAGCTGTGCAGCGCTCCTCCAGCTGTGGTGTCCCCAATGCCAACAGCATCAAGCAGATGTTGCTGGACTGGTGCAGGGCTAAGACCCGGGGCTATGAGGTCAGTGCTGCCTCCTCTCCCAATCTTGGGCCAGGCTGGGCCAGTCACTGTGCCCCTTAGTAACTCTCCTTTCCTGCAGCACGTGGATATCCAGAACTTCTCCTCCAGCTGGAGTGATGGCATGGCCTTCTGTGCTTTGGTCCACAACTTCTTTCCAGATGCTTTTGACTATAGCCAGCTCACACCCCAGAACCGCCGTCACAACTTCGAGGTGGCATTCTCCTCTGCAGAGTACGTAACTCTGGGGCTACCACAAGGGCCATGGGCACGTCCCACGCTCAGGACAGCTCTTTCTGCTGCTGCCTGGGCGCAGGGACACAGGCAGGGGCTTTGGAGGAGCTGGCCATGCTAGAGGCTCGGTGCTCGTTTGCATCGCTCCTTTCTGTCACACAGTGAGGTTGGGAAAAAGCTGACTTGGCTGTACAGAGCCCCAGTGGGCCAGTACAACCCAGTCTGTTTTGAAGTGGTGGGCATGGGACTGGGTCTCCTGGGCATGGAACATAAAAGCCAAAGGCAGGGCAGGCTCTGTGGGGCAGGGCACCAGCCATGCACAGTGCAGTACCTGGGGAGCTGGGAGTGGGGTTTGTACATGCAGGTGCCTCCTTCACGGTTGTAGGGGCTCAAACACCGTTGCAGCTTCTCAAGTCCCTTCCCTCCCCTTTTGCTTCTGGTTTTCCTGGGTGCTGAGAGATGGGAGCGCATCCAGCTGGAGGGCTGGAAGCCAGGCCCTCTCTCCTTCCTTCTGTCTCTCCTCCCATCCACTCCTATTCTCCTCCAGCACCCTGCTGGCCTTGCCTCGGGCAGGGCCAGGTGGGTTTCGGAGGGGCCCCATCCCCACCTGCCTGTCAGGTGGCAGCCGGCTGGTGCTCAGTGTGGTGGCACTGGCTGGGAGCTCCCGGCAGCTCCCACAGTGCTGTTCAGTGGAGCAATCGGGAATAGGGGGCCGTGTGCCTGGGTCTTGGCACTCCTATTAATAGACTTTTTGCTTTAATTGGGACCGGTGCGTGGACTGAGAGAGCCATCGATCTCTCCGGCCTGGAAGCCAGGTGGCCTCTTGTCCTTCCTCCTCCTCCAGCTCTTGTGAGCGTCTTCTCCTGAGCTTCCTGCACCAGGGCTGTGCCATGCGGTTCCAAGTGGAGCTGGGCAGGATGCTGGGCTTGCCCAGCCCTCCTGGCTGCTCTATATACAAGCTATATAGAGCGCTGCTCCGCTCTGGAACTCGCTCCCCGAGCACCGGGCGCGCCAGAACACATCACTCCCTCTTCTGTCTCGTTCTGTCATTCCCTCTTGACCTCACGCCTGTCCACACTGCTCACCTACCCTCCCATCCCCTGCTTGTGAGCCCTGGCCCCCCAAGTCACACTGAATGGCCTTGGAGCGCGGCGGTGCCTGGAGCCGTCCTGCCCCTGCATCGCGCACCCCCAGAGCATGTGAGAGCAGAGCAGCATCTGCCCGGGGAATGGGAACTGCATTGATCCGTGTCTCTTGTTTTCTCTCTTTCTCCCCTCCCCGACTGGGCTGCGGTCACTGGCTTGCCCCTCTCTCTCCCTGCCCTCAGGAAGCACGCAGACTGTCCGCAGTTGCTGGACGTGGAGGACATGGTCCGGATGCGCGAGCCAGATTGGAAGTGTGTGTACACATACATTCAGGAATTCTATCGCTGCCTGGTCCAGAAGGGGCTGGTAAAAACCAAAAAGTCGTAGCCCATTTTCACCCCCGGGAGCGATGGTGAGAATCTTCCTGTCGATCTACTGCCGCACACCCGCCCGCCTGCGTCCCACAGCTTGGCAGGAGGGCCGGGGAGCGGCCGCTGCGGCTGGGGCAGAGAATGGGGCTTACTGGTGGGAGAGGGTCGAGTCTCGTTCTGGGAGCAGGGTGGAGGCAACTGGCTGCCTCACTCCTTTCAGAACAGCCCTTGTGGGGAGAGGGCTGAGGAGGTGGTCGTGGAGGGGACCCAAGGGCCGATGGCTCTCCAGCCTGATGCCAGCAGGAGCGGGGCTGCTGTGGCTTTTCCCTGCCTTCCTCCCACTCGCCCAGCCGAGCCCGGGGGCTGAGCCACTGGATACCAAGGAACACCGCTTTGGTCACCAGAGTGCTCCAGCCTCACTGCCTGCACTCGCTGCCTCCTTCTTCTGTACTTGAGGCTGCCTGTCCCAGGCACGCAGAGGCTGCTGGCTGCAGTGGGGGGGGCTGAGGCCGGTGCTGCGCTGCAGGATCAGGCGTGGCTCAGGGTGCTCCCCTCCCATCGAGGTGCTGCCTGCTCATATATGGGCAGGAGAGGGGAGCCTGGAAAGTGTGACTCAAGGCTGCAGTCCTGCCTCTTCTTGCACTGTTTGTGCCTGTCTTTCAGGGGCATCCTAGCTGGCACTGGAGCCTCCTCTCCCCCAGCTCTGCACTGCACTAGCACACCGAGGCCCAAACAATGCCTTTATAAGGGCAGAGCCTGTCTCCCTCTGCTGCCTTAGCTTTTCCATCACCCTGGCTGGTGGTAGCAGAGGACCTGCTGTGCTCAGGCGGGTGCTTTCCCAAGGCCCTGAGCATGCCCTCCTGGGCTGCTGCATCATACAGTGGGGCTGCTGCAGGTCAGACCCTAGGCTCAGAGCCTATTGCTTCCATTTCTGTCTGAGTTCCAGCCCTGCAGCATTAACCAGGAGAGCGGGGCATGAAGAGCAAGGCCTCAGGCAGAGCTCCCAGACTGGCTACAGCCTTCCAGAATGGCTGCAGCATCCATGAGGAGCCCAGGGGCCAGGCAGCTTTCTTTGATCCCAGTGCTCCTTGCACCCATGCCTTCCTGCCCAAGGACTCACACAAACTGGATGTCTGTGCCGGTGCCAGCCCAGAGCTCCTTGCTCCAAGGGCTGTGCAGGGGCACCAGAGCACATGATGGGGCTAGCAGAGTCTGCAGCTTGGCATGAGGAGAGAGGGCTAGGGATGGGGGATTTTGTGGAAGGTGTTTGATCCTCCCAGTACGGTCAGAGCTGTCCCAATGAGCTTCTGCCTGGCTCAGCCTGTGTGACATTGGAACCTGGAGCCAAGCTTTGTGGGTTCTGCAGGACCCTAGCACGGATGGCTCCATCCCCAGCCACTGCATGAGCCTCAAGCCCAGGCTCAGCTTCAGGCTGCTCAGCCCCAGCCCTGATTCTTGGCGCTGGTGCCAGCACAGCCTGTGCCCTGTCAGCCAACACTGGCAATGGCTGCTCCAACTCTGGGCACTGTCCTCTCATGGGCGGCAGCAGCACTGGGCTGCTCCCAGACACCCCCTGCCAGCCCCAAGGACTTGAAGAGCCATGTGAGGGAAGGAGCTGCCCCTTCCCTTCCATCTGTACCCTGCCTGGCTGCAGCAGCAACAGCCCCTGCTGTGCCAGTGGCCCCAAAGACCATGGAGACACCTGGGGCCAGGTGGAGCTGGGGAGCCACATCTTGGGGTGCAGGCTGGCAGCAGTGGGGCAGGGGTGGTGCTTGTAGCCAAGGGTCAGAGTGAGCAGCAGTGTCATCCCAAGGCCAGTTTTAATGGTGGAGTGGGCTCTGAAGTGGAGAGCAGCTGGGGAAAGGTCTGGCATAGGACTCAGTGCCCAGCCCAGGCCTCAGGGCAGCAGTGACTCCAGTCTGGGGTAGCCATAGGCCATTGCTGAGCCACTGGAAATTGTGTGGCTCTGGCAGAGTTGTGCCCGCAGTCGGGCCCAATGCAGCCTGGGCTGTGATCCAGCAGCTGGGTGGGAGGCTGGGAAGCATGGCCAGGGGTTGGGGAGCGCAGGGCAGTGTGGGGTGAGGCTGCTCTGGTGGCTCCATCACAGTGCAATGGCCTCAGCCTGCACTCATAGTGGAGGGAGCAGGTCTAGGAGGGCTATGAGGACTACAAGTACCAATGGCAGGGCAGGGTGTGGGTAGCAGGGGACTGTGGAGGCAGTGGGGTGAGCAGTGCTGCCTGGCCTCGCAGGCCACACTGGGCTGGGGGCACTGAGGGCACTGTGAGGCTGGGGGCAGCCTGGCGCTGGCAGCCCCATCCCAGCCCTCCTGCAGGTATGCTGAGGCCCCATATCTTTGCAGGATGCTGGCGGACTGCGTGCCCCTGGTGGAGGTGGAAGACATGATGATCATGGGGAAGAAGCCAGACGCCAAGTGCGTCTTCACCTATGTGCAGTCCCTCTACAACCACCTGCGTCGCCACGAGATGCGCATGCGGCAGAAAGAGTGCTAGAGCCTGCCCCGGCCTGCGGCTGCCCGACACCTCACTGCCCCCTCCCTGCAGGGACGCTGGTGTGCGGAGGAGCTGCTGCCCCATGGAGAGGCTGGCAGCGGGGGTGGAGAGGCTGTGGGGCTGGCGCTGGACAAAGTTTAGGGCTCCTGGGTCACCCATTGCTTCAGCCTTGCTGGAGCTCCTCGGTCAGCCTCTGCCCCGGCTGGCTGCCAGCTGAATGTATGGGCAGGGCAGAACGGTGCCAGGTGGGTGCCGCCTAGGATGCCACTCTCCCTGCAGCCAGCTTGGCTCTCCTCCCCTCTGCCATACTCTAGTGTGTTAAGTTATTCATTCTCAAGGAGTTCTTTTTACATGGGCAGGGTCCCTGCTTCCCCAGGGAGGCTGGGGCAGCACAGTACCCTCAGGCCCTGAGCCAGCGTGGGTCTGTGTCTGTGTGGCTCGGCCCATGGACCCTGCAAGCCAGGGCCCAGGTGGGTGCTGCTGGTTTTGGTGCAGCCGGGAGGCAGAGTGCCCTGCTCCCCAGGCGGCCTGAGAACAGTTCTGGGCCCCCTGCAAGGAAGCCCCTCTGCCCACCACAGTCCCTGCTTGGTGCCACCTCCCTGGGGACGGCCCTGTGCCAACACCCTGCTTCCCACTGCACACACGTGCCCAGGGCGCTTCCACGGCGGGGACCTGCAGCACCCCCGTGCTGGGGAGCTGGAGGGGAGCGGGGAGGGCCCCAGGGAGCGCGGGGCCAGGGCCAGGACCAGACAGCCCCCGCGCTCCTCCCCAGCTCTGGGCACCTCGTGCTCAGTGCCACTCGCCCCTTCATCACAGTCTACACCTGCGTTGACACGTGTACCAACACCAGCCAGACAATAAAAGTTTATTCTATAGGGTGATTCTTCTGCCTCGGGTCCTTCTCCCCGACCCTTTCCAGCAACCACTTCCCCTCTCCCTGGGAGGATTTGCAGCCTCAGCTGCACCAAGACCCCTCAACTCTGGACCAGAGGGCCCAGAGCTGGGCTAGCACCCTCACCTTTTGCTCCCAATAGGAGCAACCGTGCCCAAAGCTTTGGCGCCTGATCTACATGGTCACAAGGACAGCACAGGAACTACATAGCAACCCTGCAACCCCCTCCTGCTTCTGTCCTGCAAGCATGAATGTGCGCCCAACTGAAACTGCCCCAGAAAAATGACAAGGTGCAGCTGATGGTAGGCAAGGTCTTTACTGTGTTCTTGATAGAGGCAGCCTTGCTGGTGATGTAAAGCCATACCCTCCCGGGAGGCAGCTGTCCCACCTCCAGGACTCAGTACATCTGCCCTCAGCACATGGAGCTTTCTGCTGAGAGTTTCATCCTGTCCTGCGCAGGTAGGATACTGCTGTCCAGCACCAGGAGTTGACTGAACCTTGAGGCATGGGAAAGGAGCAAAAAGATCTCTGCTTCTCCTTATTAATCATGCCGGAATGTCTGGGCTGCGTGGCTCAGGGGGAAGGCAGGGACAGGCACATAGGCTCACTCAGATGTCTGCAGTGCTCAGAAGCCTCTGCTCAAGGCTGGCACCATTCAGGGCACCCTTGGGACAGAGGCTACAGAGCACCAAGCAACAATGGCAGCAGCAGGGAACATCTCTCTGCTTCCTGCTCACACTCGCCACCCCGTGGCACGCTCCCCAGCCCTGTGCGAAGAGGCAGCTGTCCTAACACCCTCAACCCCACGCTCTAAGGACTGGCTGCAGGGCCTCCTACCACCTGGCACTGCTCATTACAGGTCCGGGTGGTCCTTCTTGTCCTGTTCTGACAGGGTCTTGCTGTCAGCTGCAGGAGCTCTGCGGGGTATTAGGGTGGGCAGTGGCTTGGCAGGGGCAAACTGGAACTCCTCGGGCACAGGGGCTTCGGGAGTCTCCTTGCGGTAGAAGCCCAGCTCCTGCACCAGCTGGTTGATCTCCTCCCGGGTCATGTCGCTCAGGGGGATTCTCTGCACACAGACAGGGATCCATAGTAGCTCCATCAGCCCAGGTGCCCTGGAGCTTGCAGCTGTGCTCGGTGCTGTGCAGCCCGCTCACCTCCAGCTCCTCATATCTGAAGCTAAGCAGCACGAGCTCAGGGTCGGCGCCGGGCAGGTGCTTCATCTCCAGGTTATGGCTGGGTGATTTGTTAAGGAGCCGCAGTGCCAGGCAGGGCAGTCCCGTCCCCCCATCCTCCTCCCATCCCATCTCAATCTACGCCCTGTTCTGACTCCCGTCCCGTTCTGCTACAAGCTCACATCCCGTCCCATCCCTTGTGCTCATCCTGGCTCATCCCATCCCCCATCACATCCCATCCCGTCACATCCGTCCTCATCCCGTTACACCC